TACACCCCCTTACACATAAAAAAATGAGTACCCCTGCACATATAAAATAATACACTCCCCACCCCATTCACATATAAAAAAAAAATACACCCCCCACATATAAAATACACTCCCCACCCCATTCACATATAAAAAAAAATACACCCCCCACATATAAAAAAATACACCGACAGAGCTCCAGGCGAAAGAATCCGAGTGCCGGTGGTAAGGAGCAGCTCTGTGATCTGTGTCTGACAGAGATGCAGACCTTGGAGCTGCTCCTGCAAGTCAGGTGTGCGGTCCGTGACCGCATACCTGACTTGTCAGCTGGCTGCGGGCCAAAGTTGGTCCGCTGGCTGGTACTTTGAGACCACTGATCTAAAGAAACGAGCTGGAGGAGGGGAATAAAACTCCATTTTGCATCCTGAGGAAACCAGTGTGCAAACCTAGCTGTCTGTGGACTTTTTGGTTTTCTTAAAGTTCAAAACAGAAGAAGCTGGACTTTACCACATTTTTCACTTTTATCTGAGGATCCTTGGGGACTTAAAATACGTTTGTGAGCCGAAAAAGAAAGGCCTTGTTTGTGCCGAGGTTCCTTACCTTTCTTAAGCTGTGGTAAAAAGATACTCTTACCCTCCTGTGATATTTTTGATTATGTCATCCAGTGTTGCCCCCAAACAAACGGTCACCTTTAAAAGGTAAATCATCTAGGCCTTTCGAAGAGGTCTGATCAGCCGACCAGCTGTAAAAATATGGGGTCCAGTATCCAGCGAAGCATTACACACATATTAAAGACCATGAATTCCACAGACCATGGTCTGCCAATTCCACATAGACAGGAAAAACATGTTGACTCTCCAGCCAATAACACAAAAGTTTTGCCTATTCTGTGAGCATTTGGGATACAAGGGCTGTGGCCAAAACAGGAAGAAATGCTGATTCAGCCATAATGTACATGTATTCATTGAGTAGAATCATGGGAGCCTAGAGTCTACAATAGGAGGAGACATCCATTTTTTTTTAAAGGAAATATTCCTCAAAAGGATAAAGCAAGGAAAAGTACTTTGGAAGATAAAAAGCCCTTGAAGGACGTTCCCATTATTTGTAAATAAAGTCATCAAAAAAAGCATGATAAGGGAAAGTCTTAGTCGAATGTTTAGATTTAGGTGTACCAAAAGGAACTGGAGCTTGCAAAGAAGTATCCACATAATCTTCCATTTTAAGAGACTCTGAAACTGACCAAATATGCGCAGAGACTACTTCCCTCTCTTGCAAAAAAGTAGATGAAGAGGTTTTGTCATCACTGGTAGATTGAGGCGACTTTGTCACCACTATTTTCCTAGAATTCCTAGAAGATGCAGTAATCCCAGGGAAAACATCTTCCTCTGAAGAAAAACAGAGGACAACAGCGATGATGGGGAGTGCTTTTTACTCTGCTTTTTAGTAAAAACTTGCTACACTAGTGAAACAAAACCTTTCAAAACAGAAAGAATTGTCATAGGGAAGGATGAACTCATGGGCCCAAAGCCTCCTTAAAAGAAGAACCTGAGAGGAAAGCAGGGGTCTGCAGGGATGGTGTCCATCGCCCCAGTTGCACAACCCTGAACCTACCAAGCCACCAGGGATGGTGAAGTGGGTCCCAGCAGGCTTACCACCCCCAGAGAAATTAGTCTGTTGACAGAAAAGCCTGGGAAGCAGCGCTGGCAATGTCAACTGGCACCTCGGAAGCAGAGACCTGCCCGCAGCACACAGAGGGAACCAGCGCAGCTCTGTCATAGAAAAAGTCCTGCCTCTGCCATATAGAGTGGCTACTTTTGAACAGTGCAGCTGCTCTATGTAAAAAGTAAATAAATAAAATAAATACACACAGCCTCTCTCATGTGAGAAGCAGCAGTGCCTCAGAAGGCTATGGGTGAGAAAGGAGGTGGGGAGGGAGAGGAGGCTGACTAAAAAAAACCTCTCTGTCAGAGAGAAGGGATGTCACTTCTCATCCAGCCATACCTCACATATAAATGAGGGAGAAAAGTGCACAAATAGTACTCCCCACAGACACTATTAAGTGTAGAAATAAAGGGGAGTACACTTACCTGTCAGGCAAAGTATGCCAGAGCACCATTTCCGAAACAGAATGTCTCCCAACAAGATGGGGACCCAGATAGCCTAATGGCCAGTCAGTCATACGCATCTCCCCTTGAGGTATCTCACAAGCTGCCCAAATTTTCTTAAGGGCTGTTGCAGATGATCCCGTTCTCAGGCAGAGACCTGCATGTGCTCGATGAAATGTGGGAGGGACTACAAAGATCTGTATTATCCAGCCTGTCACCTAGCTCAGTTGTTGACTAAAGATCAATTAAAAGTGATGAGAAAATATAAAAAAATAAATAATACCCTACTATGGATAAAAAATAGGAACAAAGATCCCCAACAGGTAGATGGGCCCTTATTAGGGATATTACTGGGGATATTGGTGCCGAGTATTTGGGCGAGTACTCATACCGGCAGTGCTGCGAGAGAACAAGGAGCCTGATTCCTGGCCAATCAGGGAGGCGGGTCATTACTGGCCGACTGGCTTCCTGAATGGCCGGAAGCCGGCTCCATGCTGTTTTGCCGGCTCCATGCTGATTGGCCGGGAAGCTGGCTTCCCAGCTAATCAGCATGGAGCCGGCAAAACAGCATGGAGCCGACTTCCCGACTGGTTGGGAAGCCAGCATCCCGGCCAATCATCATCTAGCCACCCAAACAGCCGACATGATGCTGATTGGCTGGAAAGCTGACTTACTGGCAAATCAGCATGGAGCCAGCCAAACAGCATGGAGTTGGATTCACGGCCAATCAGTTAGCCGGGCGATTGCTCGGGAAGCTGGCTCCATGCTAGCGGACATACCGGTATTGGTACTCTGTATCGGTACTCATACCCAATACCGAAGAAAAAAAAAACCACAGCATTGGTGCATCCCTAGTTCTTACTGAAAAGAGAGACAAAGAGAGCGCCTCCATCCATATGAAAGGCTAAAATTGGTTTGGTTCTGAGGAAGGAGGCGTGTCCCCTGAAACGTGTCAACCAGGCAGAACATACAGCTTGTCGGCTGTGCCGGATAATTACGATCTTAGTGTTTCGTTTGCTGACTTACACTTTTATGCTTACTTATCCCATCTGTTTGTGAGTATAATTTTAGCCTTTCATATATCGCCTTATTAAAGCGTTTTTACATGATGGAGGAGCTCTCTTTTTCTCTCTTTTCAGCGTTGTGGTTAGCCTAAACCAGCGGGAGCTGCCTCGAGAGTGTCTCACTTGGTTTTCCCACAGTTACGGGGGCTGGCGCCTGTGTTATTTACTTTTTGCCTAGTTCTTACTGCTTGATGCTAGGCAAAAAAATGAGCTGTGTTGAATGGGGGTGTGGCCACCATTAGGAGCCGACCCCACAGCCGAGCTTCTTTGTGCCTAGTATCCTACTGCTGCGAGTAGCGATATAACCCACTGGTACCTTTGTAACAATGGGTTATATCGCTACTCGCAGCAGTGGGATCTCCACTGTGTCCTTCAATTAATGAAAAAAAAAGAGTGCAATTTTTGGGAGTCTAGATTTTGGGATGAAGCCTGTAAGCTGAAATGTTTATTATTTTTTTTCGTAAATAAATCCTGATCCTGCCCTTTAACCACTTCTGTACATAAATGTTCTCCCAGCAAATTCACTCTGAACTGACATCCTGTAGCAGTCTTTAAAGTGACACTAAACTCAGGGGTTAAATCTTAAAAATGCATTCAAGTACTCTATTAATAACAATTTTGCTGATTTGCGTATGACTTGGTTGTAGATCCTCAAATCATCTCTAAATTCGTGCTGGCACTGTCCTTCCTTCTGGAGGGTGGCTACTTTTGTTCTCCATGGTCCCTGTGTGTGTTATAAACTAGCCACCGCTCAAGGCCCATTCCCGTGATAGACTACAATCTCAATACAAATTAGTAAACTAAACTCCTGAGTTTAGTGTCTTTTTAAATCAGTCGCCTATTTACAAATCTTCATTATTTGTCTTTGCGTAGTGCATTTAATTTTAAGGCTAGAAATGGTTAAGTAGTCTTATCTTCTTTAACTCACTTAAAAAGGAGAACCATGGGGTCATTGTTTTTTCCCATAGTTCTCCTTAGGGTAACGGGAGGACACAAACTAGCGTCCTCCCGTTACCCTAAGCTCAGTATACCGCGAGCTACAATGTTGGGGGGCTTGTCCTGCCCCCATGTCAATGGAATACAGGATCTTGCCACGTTGATCAAGTGGATCATCATGGACTGTTTGTATCGCTTGATGGAGGATGAGACCGCATGCAAGAGAAAAACTGCAGGATCGTCAGGTAAGGGGCTAAGTACTAACTAATAAATCACTGAACGTGCAGAATTCCAAAAAGGTCACAGGGTCTGGCAATACCACAAAACATGCGTCATAGTTCCTGTGGCCAGACCACATCTCCAGCAGGTAGAAGGAACAGATCTGTCAATTTGATGCAGAACATAGGGGACTCTGTACCAACATTTCAAGATTTTGTAACCCTGTTCCTGGTACCTGCACACCAGGGAGCACCTATGTGCCAAGGACAGGATCATGCTGCGTTGTTGAGCTGTTGTGAACATGTTGCTTTGCTGCTCTTGCTCTTTTTTGCGCATTTCATATTTTAGTGGGGTTTAGTGATGTAGAGAAGTGATGTAGAGAAGGATACTAAACTCAAAATATACTCACCCCCTTAGAAGTGGACTTTACAGGCAATTGGGGCTCAAGTATTATGTTAGCTTAAGAATATTGCAGTCTAATTTTCTAGCTAGTGTAGAGAAAATGGGTTAATTATTGTGGCATGGCACTTCAGAAACAAATAGTTATTGCCCAGTGCAGAACTGTTAAAGTTACTTTTACACTTTTTCTACCAAGCCAACTACCACAATATTTAATTGGATATATAAAAACATGCACATATTATATGAACTACAATGGACCATAACACAGAAATTAGTTTATAAAGAAAATCTTTACCTGTAAAACTCTTCTCGTTCACGTTCATCCAGTTCAGTAATAATGTAGGATAACGTTCGTTCAATTTTAGGAATAATGACTGAAGACAAAGAAAACAGAGGAGACTGTTGGCAACCCATATTTATACAATTTATAATTTTATTGTATTCTACTCTGGTTTAAAAAAAGAAAATCTATCACAGGTAACTTGAAACTCCAGCAAAAAAAGATTGTTCATTGAAAATGGAGTTTCTTGAAAAAAACAAAATCACATTCACTGTTAGAATTTCTTTTGTTTGAGAAAACAATTTCCATTCTGTTCTTTTGATTTTTTTTTTTTGTCAGGATAATTGATGGTTGATTTGACCCCATTTCCCATTACAAAACCAAACTAATGTTCTGAAAATGACTTTTTTTAAAAACAAAATTCTACTGGTGTATGGCCAGCTTTTTTCATTAATATCTCTATTATTTATCCAAAATTTACATACATATATGAAAAAAAGCATCAACATACGCCGACAATCTACATACAAATTTTACTTTTCATCCTCACCACTACTTACGACATCCCACATTATATATTTAATTCTTACATAAATGTATTTATTTACGCC